TAATACTAACCCCGCCCCCAGCGCTAGCCTCATTTACATAACACACCAGGCGAGCGTCGCGCTGTTGCCTTCAGGCGCTCGCAGGACCTCCTCCCTGCCTCTACATCCGGGAGGGGGCGTCCCTGTGTAAATATTCATCCCACAGGGAGTCACGTTCGGAAGCTGTTTTCCGAGATCTCCTTCTTGGCTGCAGATAAACGCTTCCTTGTGCGACGGCTCAACCTGGTGCAGTTTCTGCCTCGCCCAGGAGCGAAGGGACGCAGGTTCACTTACAGTGTGGTAGGGAAAACCGCGTGCTTCCGTGGAAAACTGTGTGCACCCGGTGCGGTGGGAGTTCCAAGTTCCCAGTTCTATACGGACACAAGTCACGCTGGATACCCTCCTCCAGTATGACATCATCTTACCTACTGACATCTACCGGTGAACCTGTTTCCAAAGAAGGTCACATACGGACGTCCTGGGGGGGTTAGCACTTGGACAGACGTGAATTCGGGGCAGGACGTAATCCCACACAGACCGAATCCTTCAGGATGATGGGCTCTGTTTTAATACCCTGCAGATTGTGGGTGATGCACACGAACTCTCTGCAGGCATGCGCATGAGTTCTTTTTTTTTTTAATGCTTATTTCTTTATTTTTAAGAGAGAGTGAGCGCATGAACAGGGGAGGGACAGAGAGAGAGCGGGAGACACAGAATCTGAAACAGGCTCCAGGCCAAGAGAGAAGGGGACAGAGGATCTTAAGCAGGTTCTGCACTGACAGCAGAGAGCCCGACGCGGGCCCGAACTCAAAACCCATGAGATCATGACCGGAACCGAAGTCGGATGCTTAACCGCTGAGCCACCCGGCCGCCCCCTAAGGGGATTTAATCTGACCTACGATTTCTTTCTTGCCTTTGTTCCCCCATCACTATGGAGGCGAGAGTGATGTTGGCGCTCCAGGAAACTGAGTCGATAGGTTTTTCTGGAGATTGGGCTGTTGACAAGACTGCCTTTTTCTTGTCATTTGCTAAGATATCCTAAACTGATGGAAACTCACGTTGGGCACGACCTGATCTCTTGGCGGGTACAGTATTTGTTTTTCTTTGTTCTGGGGCAGCCAGGAGCGCCTGGGGAATGTCCCCCCCTTGGGGGGGGGGAGGGGCGGGTGTTGCTAGATTGTTCTTCGCCCTCTGCACCCGGAGCGCCTCCCCAAACGTTTTGCTTCCCTTTGAACACGCGCTTCAATGTTCCTGATCTGTCAACGTGTCTGTTCTTTGGTCCTGCTCCGAACAGGTTGTAACACCTCACGCGTGCGGACTCCCCAGTCTCCAATCGCACGTTCACTTTTGGATTCTGTGTGAGTCCTGATTTTCCTATTTTTGTTTTTTTTTT